CGAATAGTCGCAAGTAGTCGACGAACGACTACGAACAACCAAGTGTCGGGGACATCTACCACAGTCTTCCGAAAATATACACCAGTGTATGTACATCATGCATGCACATACACACGCGTATACGTATATACTTTCTGATAAGATCTCGCGATATGACACGTGAAACGAAACGATAGCTCGAACCATGGTATAAGAATACAAGAGGTGCATTCAGGGAGACGTTATAGTGCCTATTTGTGTCATTCTATCCTTGTTTTACATCTAATAAACAACGAAGATAGAATGACGGAGTGCGCTAATAGTGACCCTCCGGGGTGCGTTCCAAAACGCAACTTTGGTAACTAAAATCTATAGTTAACGTAACGTAAACTATAGCTTTTTAGTAACCAAGGTTACGTTTTGGAACGCACCCGGACGCACCAAAGGTGTACGTACCATTGCGCATAATGCCTAGTTCACACTGGACGCGATAGGCGATGAGCTACGAGCGATTTTATCGATATGTAGTGTCAAAAAATGTATGTGGTAACGTAGTTCCCAAATTGAAAACGGATGTACTGGCGGCGGTAGTGTACTGACGCTTGACGCTCATTTTCAGTCATCAAAAGAAGTCACGTGATCAAAAGTGACGCACATATTCGTCAATTTCTATCACGTGACTTATAGCGTTTTCGGCCCGACCGGGTTTGCACCAACCTGGGTTGGATTAATGGCGTTTTAGCACCTTAAAACTACTAACCTTTTGACGACACGACTCCTTCATCACTTCGTTCTGTACTTCTCTCCATTCTCTCTTTCTTTGGTTGTTGTTCCTTGTGGAAGGTATGTGATGTTGAATTCCAAATGTATATATTGTTTTGTATATATGTATATTTATTTATATGTAATTATTTAAATATACATAAAATTAATAATTATGAATATTATTACTGCTGTGAGAAGAACCGCTGATTGTAAAAATGGTGGCTCAGAAAAAACAGGTAATTGGCAACGCCACGTGCTCGTCCATTAATATTCTTTAGCAAAGTTTTTAAAGCCTTTTCAATAAATATTTATTAATTGTATTATTATAATATTATTAATAGATCTTATAATATTAATATTACCATTACAATTATTATAACCTGTGCAAATCATATTTGTGATTGTTTCAAAGTTAAATGAAAAATTGAGACAAATCCCATGCAAAACACAGCAATCTAGAATAAATTAGCTATTTCAGCTTTCACATTATTTTATCTGAACTTATTTCTGTCTAATGTTGGAGATACCAAAAAATTTAGTACTTTCCAGGATAATTATTTAGAATAGCTACCTCACCTTCGATTTTAATGAAATTAGGCTCATTCGACGCGTTTTCAATCAAAACGAAAGAATCCGGCAGAAAAACGTGGTTCGCGAACCAAGATATTAAACGTTGAAGTTGACGACTATTGAGGTTAGGAAATTTGCCCCGAACTTAATGCAGCATTATTTATTTAGAATCGCTATCTCGCCTCCGATTTTAATGAAATTAAACTCATTCGAGTGTTTCACCGATAACGAAAGCCTGCTCTGCTCTTGCTATGTGCAAAAAGTTGTAAACTTGTATAGAATCGCTCATGGGTTTACAACTTTCCACGCAAAACGCGGTTCCACATGGGTTTCCAACTTTGCACGCAAACTTAAAACCAAAATTAATTTTTTTTTCATTAAATCTCACTTTGTGTACAAACTTGGAAACCTATGTAGAACCGTGCTTCACGTGGAAAGTTGTAAACCCATGAGCGATAAAAGGAAGAGATGATCTGAATATTAAACAAACATTATTATATCACTATTCTAAATAATTACCCTTTCCAGATAATGTAAATATGGTTTTAATCAACAATTTGTAATTTCTTGTTACTTTTGTAATGTTAAGCATATTTAATGAAATTTTATTATTGAATTATATAGAAAAAGGCCCAGGAGAGCATCAATACCAGATTAGCTCTCGTCATGAAATCTGGTAAATATGTCCTTGGTTATAAGCAGACTCTGAAATCCCTCCGTCAAGGCAAAGCCAAGTTGGTCATCATTGCTAGTAATACACCACCACTGAGGTGAGACTGAGAAGTAGCACTCCTTTTGTCAATTTGTGTATTATAAATCGTAAATAGGAGTACTATGGAGTAGTCTCCTGTCCCTGCTTGTAAGTGCAGGGAGTATTGAATTATAATTCTTCAACATTTAAAACATGATTTGTTTGGATTTAACAGGAAATCCGAGATCGAATACTACGCGATGTTGGCAAAGACGGGTGTACATCATTATACCGGGAATAATATTGAGCTAGGTACAGCCTGTGGTAAATATTTTCGTGTTTGTACGCTTTCGATCACAGATCCTGGCAATTCTGACATTATAAAGTCAATGCCGACTGGTGATCAAGCATAATGTACATTTTTAATTTAATAAAAAATACGAAACAATTTAAAAAAATCATTTTTTATTTATTTCTGTCCTTAATGTACATATTTGTATGTATGTATCTATATATATGTGTGTAAACGTACATACATACATATGACATACATATCAAAGAGAAATCTGAGGGATGACAACCTTTTTCTTGTAACCGCAAAATGTCGCCGAACACTACTGTCCTCTGAAGAAATAAATGTAAACTACACAACAATGTCTATTTTGCGGTGCTCCTGATGAAAATAAATTATTGAAATAATTAAAATCTATCAAATTAAAAAATAGGAGATTCACTCCAAGGCTTGTATAGGTAGGTGACGCGCATGCCACTCTTCTTTATATTAATATAGATTTATTATCGGCAGTTCTGAAAAGTGGATCTTGCTATGTAGTTTGGATCCACTTTGTCAGGGGGCAGTAGTGCGCGGCAGCATTTTACGAGTCTCAGGACGTTCTGAGGTTTCTCTCTGGTTCCACCATGGTCGAATGATTGTTTCATCTCCGTCTCGTGTTTTTGTCAAATTCGTTCCTACAACGTAATCAGAGGTAAATTTTGATGCAATGTTTTTTGAGTTAATCCCGGTTGTATCAATGTTACTTTGACTTTCAGTGAGACTTGAAACTATCTCTCTCTCTCTCTCTCTCTCTCTCTCTCTCTTTCTCTCTCTCTTTCTCTCTAGAGAGAGAAGGATATCTTCAATGTGTATGATCGCAAATCAAAAGACAGTACATGTGTTTTTGGTGAGGTTATTTCCTCCGGTGTGCTACATGTACTTTGATTATATTGAATTATAATTTATCGCGGTAACTGCTTCGGTAAAGACAATACTTAAACGAATATTTGTTCAGGTTAATATTATACAAGTGAAATTATTTCCTAGATATTTAATATTATTTTCTCTGTAACAATATTAAATATGACAAATATAATATATATACGCAGTACTACTGTAGAAAATTAAAAAATTATACTAGTTTTAATGTGCTAATAAAATATATCCAAATTATTCAAGCAATAACTTCTTTTTCAGAAAAAATTAATTCTATGTGAGTATAAAAATTCACGTAAAAAAATGCCACAGAACGAATATATTGAAAGGCACCGTAAGCTCTATGGTCGCCGTTTGGACTATGAGGAAAGAAAGAGGAAAAGAGAGGCTCGTGCTCCTCATAAACGAGCAGAGCAAGCCCGTACTTTGCGTGGTTTGAAAGCTAAAATGTTCAACAAAGAGCGACGCAATGAGAAGATTCAAATAAAAAAGAAGATTAGAGCTCATGAAGAGAAGAAAGTAAAGGTGAAGTCTGATAAGTTGCCGGAAGGAGCATTGCCTGTATATCTGCTGGATCGTGATGTTACACAACGTGCAAAAGTGCTGTCGAATATGATAAAACAGAAACGAAAGGAGAAAGTTGGCAAGTGGGATGTTCCAATACCTAAAGTTAGAGCGCAATCAGAGTCTGAAGTTTTCAAAGTAGTGAGAACCGGGAAGACGAAACGGAAATCATGGAAGCGGATGGTAACTAAAGTGACCTTTGTAGGAGAGAATTTTACAAGGAAACCGCCAAAATTCGAAAGATTTATCAGACCAATGGCATTAAGATTCAAAACCGCACATGTAACTCATCCTGAACTCAAGGCAACTTTCTCGCTGCCGATCATTGGTGTTAAAAAAAATCCAAGCTCCCCTATGTACACAAATTTAGGTGTTATTACCAAGGGAACTATTATTGAAGTAAATATTTCAGAATTAGGTCTTGTAACACAATCGGGTAAAGTTGTATGGGGAAAATTTGCTCAAGTTACGAATAATCCTGAGAATGATGGATGTATCAATGCTGTTTTGCTTGTATAAATTTGTATTATAATTCCTAAATTATGATTTTCTTGATAATTTTTGAAATAAAATATTTTATTGTATATATGTGTACAATAGCAACGATAATTCACAACAATTTATATTAAAAATACAATATAATAATTAGGAAGGGCATATAAGAGTCAGCTACAACACAGTATTATAGTCGTAGAGGAACAATATAATCGGATACTAATATACAACCATTAAATATTTAGTTGTATATATTAGTATCTAATTATATTGTCATTCCTCATTCTAACTATAATACTGCATTAAATCGAATATCTGAAGATGACTCAATCAGGAAGCCAAAACATGTAATAATTATTTATATTTAATTCACAGCATAATATATTTTATGTATAAATTTTGTAATATTGTATAATTTTATTGTAGTTGACTCTTATATGCCCAATATTAAAATATCGAATATTTTTTTTGCATTCGTTTGCTCATCGTTTGCTCACGATTGCTCCGTCGGAATTTTCGTTTGCTCACCCTTCGTTCAAAAGTTATACAAAATTTAAATTTTGAGGGGTCAACTTCACGCTAGCGCCCCCCAATATTAAAAAATCAAATATTTTTTTCTGCATTCTTTGCTCATCGTTTGCTTACGAATGCTCGCATTTGAACAGAATGAGCGCAAAAAATTTTTTGCGGATATAGGTAGCGCATAAATAGCGCATTATTCCATAATTTTTTCATTAAGATTTGGTTAAGGGGGGGGGGGGGGCCAACTTGGCAGACGTGATTTAGGGGTGAATATGACTCTTCGCTCCAAGAGGGAAGTGCCTTAAGTGTTGCAGCGCAAAAACCAAAAATGCCTGGAAATAGTAGCGCATAAATAGCGCATAAATCCTTTGTAGCATTTGTAGCATAAAGGGCCAATTGTTCCACTTTTTGGTAAATTTTACCTGTCGAGTACACAGCAAGATGACTCAATCACATACGCGAATTCCCAGATTTATTAACAAGTCAAATTTACCAAGAGCTGGAACAACTGCCCCTGGGCTGCGTTCGGATTCCCATTCGGGTGTCATGTCATTTTTGTTTAACGTTCGGTAAACAACAAGGATGATATGACATCCGGGGAGCACCCAGGTGGGAATCCGAACGTAGCCCTGAGTGTACCGTAGCATCGGCACAGTATAAGTAAGAACAGTAGGTACACTTCTGTGTCGGCACATTTGATCTTTATGTCCTACTTGGCCATGTTGAAAATTGTGCGTGAGCACCAATAAGAGCGAATAATCTTAGGCAATAAGGAAACTGATTGGTGCGTCATGTTGAAAATTGTGCAGAATTGTGCAGAACGGTCGCCACTATTTTTAACTGAATGTACGTACTGTTCTTACTTATACTGTGGCACCGGTGATATTTCCGAAACGCAGTCCAGTTCAGAACTTGGGGTGGAAAAAGAACAGACCTTATAACACACACAGCTGAGCGTATTCCTGAACGCACCTGTGTAAGTGAAAGGTCAAGTGAGAGCCTTCTCTTATCTCGAAGAAAAAATCAATAATGTTCTCTATCACGTGACGTCACACGATGTGAACGCATGGATAGGTCTCTTGATACTTGTTGATCTTATCCGGTAAGTATTATTTTATGAGAGTTGCACCAGGGGTAAGTACGTGCGATATATGGCTTGTTTCGTTTGTTGAAAGCTCCCCTTATATCGAATGTTGCGATAACAATTATCGCATCGCGCCGTTAAGTGTTAAGTACCGATGGGTGTTGATCTATTTGAGAGATAAAAGAGTGATAGCTGTTATTTGAGTTATTTCTGTTTCTCCATATCGTCCAACGATAAAATGTACACTGTCATCTAATAACACTGCTTCTGAAACGTCGCGTTCATACACAATCCACACGTATGGAATTTAATGTAAAAATTAATTTATTTTGTTATTATTTTATAAATGCAGCCTTAATCGATATCGTTTAAATGTGTAAACTATTAACATTCTTACGGACAGCGATTCGTATGTATCTTGTTTTCATTTTTTTTTTGGTATGTATGAAAACCATAAAGATATCTTCTACCATCTGTTTGTCTTCTGTTTTTCACCTGTTGCTCCTATAGATTAGTGTCTATGTAAAAAAAACTCATCGTGTTATTATTTGGATTTTATACGTAAAATGCAAGTGTCGAATTATCCGTATGAATATGTAAGATGTGTAGGTATGTTTAAAACAGTTAGAAATTTGATAAAAAATTGCTGCGATGACAGAAAATTGACATAAATACAAAATTAGCATTTTTGAGATAATAAAATCGACTGAAAGTTAATTTTTGTGGAAAAGCAACACATTTGTTGTTTATTTATTTATTCAAAAAAGTTTCACACTTTAATATAAGGAATGCAAATTATATCATGGAGTGTAATTTTAAAAACTCATGACGTAGTTCTAAAAAATTTTTGCATCATAATTGAAAATATAACGTGGAAAGAAAGTGAAGTTATAAAACTTGTATATTTATTATCCTAATTAAACATTGTTCTAATTCATAATTTAAAAAATGCTCTACTGAAAAGTTACTAATTTTGAGATATTCATGTTTCTATCAACACAGCAAAAGTTACATAGCTTTATATAATGTAAGACATTCATAAAATAAACTTAACATATGTTTGTCTCTACATTGTAAGATTCATTTTATATATTATTTTGCATGTTATATTTATTGATTTTTTTTTTCATCAATATTTATTAATCAATATTTTTTTGTATTTATTAACACTTATCGATATTTTTGTCATATGATGAGACATGAAACATTTTTAGATATGGAACAAATAAGAGAGTTACCCCAAATGCAATCTCACTCTCTGGAAGGTTTCATTCCCCTTCTCAGTCTTACTGAGGGATGTGGCGCACTTCTTATAATCTTGATGGCTGTGTGGACAGGATATTATAGACAAGGTTTCTCATGGAGATCTAATCCGAAACTCGAATTTAACTGGCATCCTCTATTAATGACTATAGGGCTCGTATTTTTATATGCCAATGGTACAATATAAAAGTAAAAAGTTACCTGCATCACATATATGCTCGTATACATATGATTTACGAATCTGTTTTTTACTTGTAGCCATGCTTCTCTATAGAACGCAAAGAAATGTTCGCAAGCGGCGACTAAAGTTAACTCATGCAGGAATGATGTTATTTATTATATTGTTAGTGGTGATCGCTTTAGTAGCCGTCTTCGATAGTCACAATCTTGCTCCGACTCCTATACCAAATATGTATTCCCTACATAGTTGGGTTGGATTGACTACCGTAATATTATTCTGCTGTCAGGTAAATCTATGAAACTTGCCTTGACAATCTTGCATTCATAGATATGTATCAATGTATCTTTGTTTACAGTGGGTCGCTGGATGTGTTTCCTTCCTTTATCCCGGATTGCAAACTCCATTACGGGCTTCTTATATGCCATTGCACGTATTTTTTGGCGTTGCAGCCTTTGTGGGCGCAATTGCTTCGTGCTTGTTGGGACTTAACGAGAAAGCGCTCCTTGTATTACAGTTAGTAGTGGTAGACTGTTTGTAAATATGATGAGTAATAAAAAAATATATTTTTCTATTTGAAATTTCAGAGATAAATATCCAACTTTCGTCAGTGAAGGAATACTGATAAACTTTATAGGATTGCTGCTCGTATTGTTTGGAGGCTTATCTGTATATTTAGTAACGCAGGAACGTTATCGGCGTTTGTCGAGATCTGAGGATGAAGTCTTGTTATCCGGCTAATATACGAATTATAATGTGTTGCCAGATTTGTTCATTGATATAAATAACCGGATGGTTACTATTCCAAACTTAATAAGTATTTACTACAAATTTCTTGTGAGTCTTATATTAATTTCATAAATAAGGTTGATTCAATTGATTGAAGCACATACACACAAAAAAAAGAAACAATGGCCGTGTTTATATCAGATAAAGCTGTCAGCCGTTTTACTGATTGATTGGGCTGTTGACAAAAATTCTCAATGTTTTTAAGAATTTTTCAGGAATATTTAAAGATCGGTCCAAAGTGTTCAACTAAAAAATTTTACCATTTAAAAAATATATTTCAATTTATACAAAAAATCTAAAAAATTTTCTAAAGTTATAAAATTAATACGAAAATTCTGAAATTATATAGAAATTTTGAAAAATTATATGAAGAATTCTAAAAAAAATTTATCACAGCAAGTAAAAATCAATTATGTATAATCGCTCAGTAAGCAAGCCAGCTCTCTGGTTTAAATATGACCATATATTTTATTATATCTTTTTGTATTCTAGTCTATTTTTTGATATCTTAACAGATAAATATATATATGTTTGTAAGTTAATATTTATATATTAATTTAGAAGTAATTTTTTCGGAAACTATGGTGCTATTACACAATATATATGATATATATGTAATATATAATTGTTACAATGACAATGTTTTGTGGCTTATATTTTTAACTAATTTAATTAACAACTGATTGAAATGTAATATATACATATATACATGTATAAATATGTAGTATCAATATATGAGATCTCATCATAAAAATAATTTTAATTTATGAAAATTATCATTTTCTAGAAGAACCACGCTTTTCGAGAATGGTCCTTGCCCTTTTATCTTTGTCCGATTGTTTTATCCTATTGAATTATTTCCCAAAGAACAGAGATACAAAGTTTGTTTTTTTTTATTCCTGCACTACTTTCTCTCACTTTCGCCAAATATCAAATATAAATCTATAGGATCTATTTTACTTTAAATTCCAATGTAAATTAATTCGAATACAGGAACAGATAGTTTCGTTTGTTCCTTTTTCTAAATCGCAATCTTGTTCAAAAAGCGTGAACGAAAACCGGAATCGTGATCTCTTTAAAGATTAACATTCTCTCTCTCCTCTTATAATAAATAATTAGTTCCTGTAAAAATACTTGTTTCTATTATTAACACTTTATCGAGAATGCACTCGCAGATATTTTCGCCCTCTGGAACAGCATTTCCGAACCAATCGACAGCGGTAACGAAAACAAAAAAAAAAGGAAAATAACAAAAACATTCGCGCCGCCGTACCGTGCGATGTACGCGCGCATATATATCGTCGTGGCCCATTTAACTCGCGACGGAACGGAACACGCCCATTCCGCGCTTATGCAATTGTAAACTGATTGTAAACATCGTCGTGCAACCATCGCCGACGACGTCAACGTATTCTCCGCGACGCGTGTATCACGTGTGTGGGTACACGCGAACGTCGCGTTTCACGCACGGCGTTATAAGCGTCTCCCAGCCATCGGAATCGTCAGATAAGGATTGCCGCGCGAGCTGACAACTACGGCGCTCGGTCTCCTCGAGAATTCTCTTCCTCCTTTCTTCCTTTCTCGCGCGGAAAGTAATTCGGCGTGAGCGCTCGATAGTGCGGTAAAAATAATAAGTCATTCAATGGTTAACCAAATACCTGTGCCGCAGGCCAAGTATGAATTACTAACCAACATACGACAGTGAGTACATCGAAAGCCTCTGCGCTTGAAATGAAAGCGCTCGGAATGCGTCACCCTTCGGGGAGCTGCTTTTATAATCATTTTATAATTATATATGCGAGAGAGGAGGGGATAAGTACGCGAAAGAGGGACGGGAGAGATAAAGGAAATTTGTATCGATTTCTCTCGCGCTACGACAAGCAGTACGTACGTCATCGCTGACTTTTGAACTTCCCCGCCTCTCGACGCGAAAGGTCGTACTTGTCGTTATTTGTATAAACGCGAATAGACTGACAGGTTTTCCACAGCCGATCGTCTTATATGTAGATTGAATACGATGGTCTGAAACAAAGATTGCTTTCAGACCACGCTGGAGAACGCAGGTCGTTTGCCTCACTTTGTCATTCCTGATTGTCGGGGTGTTGTTTATCACGCGCGCTTGGTTCGGCATACTCCTACTAAAATCTCCGAGGACCAACAGATTCGTTGAGGAACACATTGACGATGCCAAGATTGCTACGTGGCTACGTCGGGCTCGGATGTACGCCGAGTCGACGAAGGAGAATCAGAATGCGGACAGGAACACAAGTGTCAGCGCATCGGAGCAACACCGCCACGATACAACCGGGTGAGAGACTCTCTGAGCAGATATGATTTTTTTCATCCATTTTAGATTTATACTTATCTAGTAAACGGAATATTAACATTGTGCTAGCAGTTTATCATTCAGAATACTACATCAATTGTGTCTGTGTTGAAATTATGTTCTGCAAGCAATTTGTCGACATGGGATATGATCCAATTGATGCTGCAAATGCTTTAAAGCATTCTTTGATTCGTCACTTTGTAAAATTCTTTCTTCTAATTAGTCAATGAAGCATTTGCAGCATTAATTGATTCATATCCCTAATCTGACAACAGAAATTATTAAGGATGTTTTTTATCTTACTAATAAATATCCCAAGTTTTTTGTCATTATTTTACATTTTCGAGAAATATGCCCTATGAGGAGCCAGGCTATTTAAAATCAGAACGGAGCTGATTGGTTGACCCTACTATTTCACTTTTCCAATTCCATTTTCCGATTCTATTTTCCGTGTCCATGGGACGGACGGCACCCTCTCAAATATATATAACATCCAACTATGAATATTAGTTTTAATTTTTTTATATAAGTACTTTAAATATTGCAAAATGAGTTATATAAAATTTCATTATGATGCATAGATTAGTTATTCTAATGGAACTAAATAAATAAATAAGTAAACAAAATTTATTTATTTCCAGCATAGGTAAAAAATATTAAGTTTTTATTGAAATAATGTTTTATCCAAGTGTTTTCTAAATCACTGCTGAATTTTTACTTTTAAATGCGATCTAGAATAATCTGTAATTTTTTCATTATTAAAAAATTTTGTGTAATACATTTTTAATGATTCCACTGAGTTTTTCTGCATAAATAATTTTAAATACTTTTAAAATACTTCTACAAAAAATTGAGACATTTTTTTTGTCAGTATTTTTTAAATTCTAATATTACAACAATAGAAAATAACAAATAAAGGAAATAAATTATACCGCGTCCATGGAGAGAACAATGAGCCACACATTTTATGATCAGATTGGAAGATTCGAGCACATTATTTACTTCCGCATGCATTATTGTCATATCCTTGGGTAGCAAGACAATAGTTGCATGCGGAACTAAATAACGCACTCGAGTCCTCCAATCTGATAACAATGTGTTACATAAAAATGTGTTTAAAAACATAAAATGTTTTAAATATTATACAACTTTTGCATATATAGTTTATTTAAAGTACAATATTAATTCATTTGTAAAAATGGGTAACATCCTTAAATATACGGTTACCCATTTAAATGGAATATATGTATATGTATATCATCAACAAAATCTGCTAGCATTCTGTTGATCAAAATTTGTAACAAACCCTGTACAATCTGATTTTTACATATCTGACTATCATAGCAATCTGAACGTGTCATTTGAAATCTATTCTATGTTTAGCCAGGTCCTCGTGTGCTACTATACAATACCGGGGGACCTGAACACGTCGTGGGAGCTCAGTCCGTCGCACATTGACCCTCATATTTGTACGCATATTATCGTGGGTTTTGCGGGCGTGGTGAACAATACGCTCGACATAGGCGACGATGCGCCGGTTTATGAGCGAGTAGTTGCTTTAAAGAATCTCGAACCTAACTTGAAGGTCATGATCAGCGCCGGCGGAAACAATGAGCTCCATAATGGTTTCTCCGAGATGGTAAAAAATCACGCGAATAGAAAAAAGTATGTCCACCATGCTGCTTCTCATTCCTATGTGTGATACATATTCTAGATGTACAAATATTATAAACATGTCCCTATATGTTCAGGTTTATCCAGTCAGTATTAAACATTACCAAAACCTTCCATTTGGATGGTTTTGACGTTGACTGGGAGTTTCCAGCCTGGTTAGGGGCGGACGAGCGTGAAAAAATACACTTTGCGCAATTATTACAAGAATTACGAAAAGAATTTGATCGTAGTGGACAAAAATTGATTTTAACAGTAGCAGTTGCAGCGCCACAGGCCATTGTGGATCAGAGTTACAGTATTCCTGAAATGGCAGAGTATGTACTGTACAAGAATATGATAATTATGGAATATCATAAAATAATATTACAAATTGTCATATTTTTCAGGCACATTGACTTTATAAATCTCATGTCATATGATTATCATTTTTACGTTTGGTACTTTCCGGTAACAGATCTAAATGCCCCCCTCTTTCCTCGTTGTACAGAGGCAGGCTATTTATCCACATTAAATGTAAATTTCTCTGCTCAATACTGGATAGCGAAGGGAATGCCACGTGAGAAGATTGTTATTGGTATACCAGCTTATGGTCACACATACAAACTGGACAATCCAGCGAATCATGGTTTACAAGCGCCGGCTAGCGGATTCGGAAAGCTTGGTGTAAAAGGCTTTGTATCTTATCCTACGATTTGTCAATTTTTAAAATCCGGAGCTGAGAGCGTTTTTAATAAAGAAAGTCGTGTACCGTATGCGTTCAAAGACAGGGAATGGATATCTTACGACAATGAGGAGAGCGGTTCTTACAAGGTAACACGTTTTATATTGCTAACACAACATCAAGCATTCAGCAGATTTGTAAAATCTATCTGTAATGTGTAATGTAACATATAATGATATAAGCTCAATTGAAACGTTTGCATTGTAGAGTATGTGGATTCGTACCAATGGTTTCAAGGGAGCCATGATTTTATCTTTAAACGTTGATGATTGGAACGGCACTTGTTATGGTACAAATGAGACATTTCCTTTGACACGTACCATCTCGAAAGTATTATTTAAGGAATCAGACAAGTAATAAAATAGGAATACTTTAAATACATACAATCAATGAATCTAATTATTATTATAAAGCTTAAGACATTTTACATTAAAATGATCCATTCCATCGCATTTCTATTTAATATTACTTGATGTACACTCTACCTCAGTTGCTCAAAGATTCTTTTAT